CCTTTAACCATTTTTGAGTCAAAAGAAACTTACTCTTCTCTTTCATAACAAAGTCAGATGAACTTACTCTCCTCTCGATCTAGTCAATAGATATGTTTCTGTTACATAAATCCTGTATAAAAATAAGAATACGTTGAAGAGATTAAAATTTCTCTTTGCCATCTTTTGATTGTAGGTCATTTGTTGCATTGATACTAATATTGATATCAAAAATGCTGCGTTTGTTGTCCGAATAGTGTAATTCGATGTCCTCCATTGAACGATTCTCCGTTTCCGGCAGCATAAATGACATCAGTATGAATCTATAATTCAAAATGAATCGAATTTCAATTCAATTTATATCGATTCGTTAAGATAGTGATGGAAAATAAAAAAAAAACAAACCCAACAACGCCAATAGCACCATAAAAGCATATCACCCCGGGCAATGAAAGCCATCTCTCAAAGTCATAGTACGTTTTGGTTGCGATGAATGCAAAGAGTTGATTTATTGTACTAGCCAATGCACAATAAAATGACCGTGACCTATCGAATGAATACATTCCAAAATATTGATACGTATATTTTGAGAAAACTCTTACTCACTTGAATGGGAACACCTCGCTCATCATAATGTACGGAACAGAGGAAACACCGACCGAAACACAAAACTGCATAATTAAAAACATGGCTAGCGCAAAGTAATTATAGTTGCCAACGGTTTCGCGGATCGATTCTAGGCTATGTGTAGAGTTGCCCGTAGTACCAACATCGATCGAAGACCATCCAGGTGAGAAGAAGTACCATCCATAAATGCCTATAAGAATAAATATGGCGAATATTGAGAAATTTCATTCATTTGCTGTCAAATTCAACCTTCAATATTTGACAAACTCACTCAATCCAAAGCTGCTGACAAAATTACCGACCATCGAATAAAGATAAATTCTTCGTTTACCCAGCGATTGAATTGTGAATACAATGAAAACATTCGCCAAAATTCCAAGGACGCCAAGAAGAATGGTGGTGAAGTTTGCATCAAGTGAAATGCCATGAACGTTTATAATTTGTACGATATAAGGTCGCATTGCGAACATCCCAGAGAATTGCATGAAGAGGAACAAAATTGTAATCAATGTAAATGGTTTGAGTGTTCGCTTTTTGGTCATGTCTTTGAGTTTGTCCGATAATGTTGGCGGTGCATGATCACATTTACTGCCCGATTTTTCGCAATTTGAACATGACACCGAAATTTCACCAATATTTTTCAATTGCCGAAATTCGGCTGAAATACTCTCGGTTGAAACCCATCCTCGTAGTACTTGCAATGATTTCTGTGCCTCTTCCGAACGTTGTTTTGAAATCAACCAAATTGGCGCCTCTGGGACGAAAAGTGCCACCAAAATGTTGAGTATTGGAATGAGTGCACAAGCGTAAGCCACTTGACGCCATGAAATGAATGAGCCTAACAAATAGATCATGAAAATGCCAGCAGTTGAAGCTATACCAGAAAAAGCACTAAGTATTCCTCTGAGTGATGGTTCACTGGAAACAGGTTGAAAAGTGTTAAATTATTTATATTGAATGAATTTTTAGTCAGGGATTTTCAATCCACTCCGATTAAGATCATGTATTTTTTTTT